TATCATATCCGTTTTTTACAGTTTAACTTAATATTAAAAGGTAGTTGAATGGTTTTATGATTATGATTTAAATTCAAAATGAATTTATCTTTAAAGATCTAATCACTTTTCTACTTCCGGACGATGTTCGACAAATTGAAACAAGAAAAACAAATTCAATTTTTTTCCATTTCTATCCCAATATATAATACGATCTGTAACAGGAAGTAAATTTACTTCTAAAGCTGTTTCTTTATCAGAAAACTTTAAAACTTTAATCAACTTTTATCTCTTCAATTCCAGATGCGGAATTTCTGTGTTCTTTGATGTTTCCAAAGAACGTAGAAGAACTACTTCAGGGATTTAATAAATCGATTTTTGGGGAAATTCCAATCGGTTTGGTTGCCCGTGAGAAATTACATTTTGGCATTCTCGACGAGTTATTGATTAGAAAGCGAAAATTAATCGAGAACAAAGGGATAGTGGAATTTCAGAATATGCAACCAGCTTTTGCAAACCCGAGAACGATATTCTCATCGAAATCGGAAACAGCGTAATTTTCTAGCAAAACTATATATAGACCAAATGCTCTTAAATGGGAACTTCTGAGTTATTCCAATTAAAGCTCACTAATTTTGCTCTTAAACTTGGTTTATCTTGTAATTGTTTGAGCAATATTTGTTGTATTTACAAATGAAAGCGCAATTTGATTACAATTGTTCAACTGCCTTTATTGCTAAAACTAATTTCAAATATTTTAATTTTGTATGAATGTACTGTTTTATTAAAATTCTTTTGGAAGAATGCAATTATTTCCTCACGAAATCTCATTCTATTGAAATTTCCAATTGCTAAAAATTAAAATATAAATTTTTATACTACATTTAATATCAATAATATATTAATTAAATTTTTGAATATTTTATTAAATAAAATAAAATTAACAATTCATTTGCTAAAATTTAATATTCAGTGAAAGCTTTATTAAATTTAATAATCGTTTTATTATTATATCCTTTTTATGTCTACATTTATTTTTTGATTATCTGCTATATTTGTTGTATTTACAAATAAAAACACAATTTCATTATAATTCGTTAACTGGCTTTATTACTAAAACTATCTTTAAATAGTTTAATTTGTATAATTGCGTGGTTTTATTAAAATTCTTTTGGGGGATTGAAGAAAAATTATCTCGAAATTTTCGATTGAAAGTTTAATTTCCTAAAAATTAAAATTTGCATTTCTATATTACATTTAACATCAATAATATATTAATTTAACCTTTGAACATTTTGGGAAGTCTTAATTCTTTTGTTAAAATTTAATATTCGATAAAAGCTTTACTAAAAAACTATTGCCTTATTATATTATTTTTATGTTTACAGTTAATATATTCATATTATTTTTGCATTATTGGTGTTCACTAAAACAAAAGCTTTAAACGTAAGTAAAGATGTATAACATATGAGCAGTACGAACAGATATGAAAAAGCATGTATTAAACAAAGCACTTTTGTCATTCTGAAACCAATTTGCACAGTCTAATTGTAATTTTGAGCATTTTATATGAAGTGGAAACAATATTAGAAGAAACGACTCAAGCTTTTTCTTCATTATATCCATTTTTTAGGTTTACTTATTTTATTCATATTAATTTTCAAGTAATATATATTATTTATTAAAACAGATTATCTAAAGATGTGCAAAACAAATATTAGATAAGAGCAATTATGAACCAAAGAAAAATATGTTTAGAAATAACCATCTTTTAACAAAATATTTTTCTTTATTTAAGAGGCAGTTAAGGTAGTCTAAATTAGATATTATAAAAAGGAATTCATTCGTGTGAGAATTTACATGTCTTGAAGTAAATAATAATTTTATTCTACTTTTCTTACCCAATACACCGATAAATGAAATTTCTTTCTAACTCAAATTTAAAATGCTTTTAAATATTTCCCCCTCAGGATTAAAAACACAGATACCTTTAGAAGATACAGATACCTAGAAATCGTACAGTATCTTTCAAGATTGTCTTAGAAGTTTCTATGCAATTTCTTACTCTACTGTTATAAAATTTATATAAAACTCTAAAAATAATTAGAAAATATCATTTTTATAAGATCTAGCAAACATCAAACAAATAAATAGAATTTCAAAGTTCAGATATCAGTGAATACGTTATCATTTATTTTTATACTTTTCCTCAGATGTATACAAAAAAAATTATATATAAACTTATTTATATGTAAACTTAAAGAAAAAAACCCTCCTACTTTAAATGACTTATACAATGCGAATTTTTTTTTAATTTCATTTAAGAAAAATATTTAGTTAAAAATATCTTTATTTTATTTTTTACCGATATGGATATCAATTTTACAAACACACATATATATTGATAAATACTAGTAACAAAGTTAAAATTTTATCTTCAATGTATCCATAAAAAATAAATTTTGCTTTTATATAAACTTAGAAAAATTCTTCTCACTTCGAGTGATGTTTCCCATGCGTTTTTATTTTTTATTTAATCACTCTACCAAAAAATTACATCAAGTAATTTTGTCTGTTTTATGTACTGTGCAAGATTTACGACTAATCTCTTCTCATAAAAAGATCTCTCGTAACAACATAGGGAACAAACAGCTTCAACATGCTCATAAATGTGGTAGGTTCTAGAAAATAAGAACGCTGCATATCAAGCGAGAACAAAAAACAGATGACTTTTCTCTGGCATTTCCTTGCAGCAATAGCCATGAATGTTGGGTATAATTCCTTGGAGGAGGGAACAAATCTGAAGAGTTAGAAACAATGGAGAAGTATAGCTTGTAGGTTAAAAGCTCATCAATCAGAAGGGGTAACGCGCTTTTTTGCCACTACTTAAAATATCGGTTTTCCAGTTACGGCTGCCGTGATAAAATACTAGTCATAAATCATCCAAGCCATCTAGTCTCTAAACTATACTGAAGTTATGGCAATGCTACAGCGGCTTTGCCGAACATATTGTTCATTATTGTAAGTCTTGATATATGTAAAATCGAAAACTAAAGTTCTGTTTAATATCAAAGTGTGCTGAGATTGCTGGAAGTGAATAATCACGCGGGAATTGCTAAGGAAAAAAATGATGCATTAAAGTTAAAAAGAATCACTACAAACAGTTATTTTATTGTTTATAAAAAAAATGTAGGAATTGTTCGTAATTCCGCTCTTAGGTTGAAAGTGCTTGGTTTGAGCAAAAAGAAAAAAAGCTAATTCTCAAAACATTTCGCTAAGACTTGCGAAAAATATTCAGTTTTTCATTCATTATTTCTGTGCAATAAATCAAAAAGAGCTTGAAACTTTCTCAAATAATGAGACAAAATACAATTTGTGGTACTTGAATTATTCGCATGATATTTATATTTAGAGCTAATTCATCTTCTTTGGGAAATAGTACACAATCAGGCTCTTTTCAATATTTTCCTGAAATAGTTCATAACATTTTAGCAGTAGTTTTAATAAAACCAATAAATTTTCAACCATGTTTTTCAGATACACTGTAAAAGTTTTGGCGATTCTCTACAGATAGACGTTATATAACATTTTTAGACGATAACTTTTCAAAAAGACGCTATTGCACGGGAGAAATTTTCCACCGCAAATTCTCTTTCATCTCCATTACTAATTTAAAATTTCTAGTAGAGGAAAAGTGAATTCTAAAAAGAGAAAGAGTGAGCAAATCTAGATTAGTCTATGAAGTTTCAAATGCTGGAAATAAAATTTCAAAATATCCAAATGAAAATAAATAGTGAGAAGATAACTTAGGATCCCTCAATGGGGGGGGGGAGTTATCTACTAAAATCTACTAATAATCTATCTGCATTTTCATTTATTTTGTGGCTTTAGATTTGTCACAATTCTCTTTTTCTATGCTTAAAATTTCAAATTAGTGGAGGTAAAATAGAATTTGCTATTAAGAGTTTCTCCAGCGGTATGGTGCCCTCTAAAGTCGAATTAAGAATTTTAATCAGTATCACAGTATGCATACAAAATTGTGATTTTATTTTAAATAAGCCACTTATGCTTTAATGTACTATTAATATACAAATGGCCGACCGGCCTGTGTAGGGGGTAGGGAACTGTTCTTGCATCAGAAAGGTCCTGGGTTCGAATCCCGGGAAAGGCATGGATGTTTCTTTCTCTCTCTGTGTGTTCTATGTCCTTTCTCCTTTGTGTGTGAATGTGACCAGCCCTATAAGCGGGTTGAGATTGCGTGAATGGCGTGGCAGAAGTCGAATTTCTGGCCATAGATGGCGCCACTGAAAAACAGAAACAATCGCACCTCCACTGCCTAAACATGCATACGACAAAAAAAAAATATGCAAATGCAAATATACTCTTCTTTAACACTTATATGTCAGCGTAAAAATTCTCTAAACGTTTGAACTGATTTCAAAATATTATAAAATAGTGTGAAAAAGTAAAACGGCACAAATGTATATTTTTCAAATTAATTCTTGTGATGTTGCCTACATTGATAAAAGTTATAAAACCAATAAGAACTTAAAAGTTCAACTTCCTTTAATGTTAGAAATAACAATTAAGTCGTATTTTATAACTAATATTCAACTTTGATACTAAATTATCAGAAATTATTTTACTCTCAAGATTTCTTAGAATGTTTCTTTAAAATCTACAGTAAAGCTTCATTCAGTCAAATGCTTCTTTTCAAAATTGCTTTTTTTGCAAATAATAAGTCTAGTAAGTCTGCTTACAGAATGTAATATTTTAAAAGCAATATTCAATATATATATATATATATATNTCCTCACTTTTTTGGTTCACTATATCCACTAAAAATAACATTATACGTGTATAGCAAGGCACGGGACCGAGCATTTCGTTCATTATATCCGGGAGTTCACTATAAGCCGTGTTCAATATAGCGGGGTTTGACTGTATATATATATATATATATTAAAATTACTTTTTCAACGTTATCAGAGAAACTAAAACTTACGTTTTTCTCCAAATAGGTTTGATATTTTAGTAAATGGTGGAAGTGCTGTTACTTTGCAATTTCAAAGGAACCCTTTTCACCCAATAAAAAGAACTGTTTTGGTACCATGGAATGATATTGTTGTAATGCAACCTGTTGTTATGTCAGCTGTTATTGATCCTGAACCTGTTCCAAAGTCTATGTCGACAGATGCATGCCATGAACATGACTATGACTATATGAAACCCATTGTTTATCAAACCTGGAGACCTGTTTCAGAAGGAGGCTGTACTGAAAATAGCGCTGTGATTGCAGAAACTCAGGTAAGCATTCTTTAAATCAAATTGAAATTGCATACTTTAAAACGAATTTTCTAAGAAATATTTCACAAGCATCTTTGAAAACAAATAGATAAATTATATTTGTAAATTATAAATCTTCGAATAATAAATATCAGAATATCCGAAATGGCTTAATCAGGCATAAGCAGGGGAATGTTAAAAAGGGGAAAAAATTCCTGCACTTAAGAAAAATTATTCTGGAATAATTTCCTGCGGTACGTAAATGTCATTTCTGGTAAGAAGAAAATTATAATTCTGGTTAATAAAACCAAACTATACTGTATTTAAGCCATTTATTTGCTAATTTGGCAACAGTGTTTGGGATATTATTTTTTTTTTTCAAAATTATCATTCTTATTAACACATATTTGATAAAAAATACAAAACTCAATTTTACATTTAACCAAATTTACTGTTCTACGCAATACGGAAAAATTTCCAAACTTTATCTCATTTCCCAACTTTTATCACTTATTATTCCATAGTATTTTATTTCATTCATATTTTATTGTTAATTTTTTCAAAATCATTGTTGACGCACTTTATCGATCTTTTTGTTGCTCCCATAATAGAGCCAGAAAAACAGTACCATATTCTGGTAGTTTTGACTATATTTTTTTCTCGGTTCGCATACGTTTTTGCTAGCAGATAAATTAACAAAAGGTTTAATTTGTATTATTCTATTAATAATTGTATTCAAACTGCATTTGAAACTATTTACCACATAAATTATTATTTATACTATATTAAATCTGCCTTTTCTTCTTCGGAAAGTAAGAATTTTTTTTTTCGTTTTCTGATGATAACAGAGTTAAAAATGAAACTGCTTAAAGTACACACTTTTCGAGGAATATCGTGACTATAACCTAAATATGTCCACGATAACCAAACTTAAAGAAGAATAAAATGAGTCACACATATATTCGATAAATTCTATTGCTATCGATTAGCTCAAGTAAAAGGTCGGAATTGTTTATCCTAATCTGATTAATATTTTTCGAAAACTGAAAAGCACGTGTTATCGATATAAACAACACGCAAATGTGCCGCTAAGCTGAAAACACAAAACCGTTGCTTTGATAACATTGATTTGTCCAATCGTTTAGAGAAATGTTTAACATGCTTCATGACTTCAACAGTAAACTTATCTAATGGTTATTATTAGGACAGCGCTACAAGCATGCAAATGTCTTCCATATTGTAATTATGGTGAAAATAAATCTATACTTAAAATGAGAAAATACAATGTTTCTACACGATTTTTTTGAGAAAAGTAAACTCTTAAATGATTCAACGGCAAGCATTTTTCTTTTAAACAATTAGTTAAATAATACAATTTTTTTTTCTAAAAGCAATTTAGATAAAATTTGAAATACACAGAATTTACAATTTCTTAAATTGAATTGACACTTAGTTTTAAGTGAATAATAAGTCAAACAAATTCTATAAAGTATAAAAGAGTGCTTTTATTAATATTGCGAAATGCAGAGTATTTTAAAAATAAGATTTATCATTAAAGACTTGGGTCACCGACTTGAAATTCGTTTAAAAGTACAATTTTTCGTTCAAACTTTTCACCAATAATTTTATAACTAACGAAACCAAAAATTTTAAAAAATCTTCTACTAGATACTTTAAAAACTCTTTTAAAAATTTAACCTTAAAAGATAATGATTTAATTTTTTATTTAGTTGAAAATACTAAGTTTAAGTTATATTTTTTTGATTAATGTTTAAGAAAAATTTAATGCTATAGATGCAATCGATAAAATCTATAACTTAATAGGTTTCAAACTATTTTCTAACTAAAATCAATTGTTTTCCCTTTATTTCAATTAAGAATTTATAAACAATCATTTAAATGGTAAAAAAAGCCTCAATTCAATGTGGTTAGTTCTATTGATAAGAACAATTCAGCTAATATATTTTTTTTTCCATTTGTCACTACAATTATTGTTTCTTAATTTTTTTGGTAGAAATTTTAATCTGAGATATTTTGTTTTACAACAGTCCACAGTGGGCCAGCATCCAAGGTTTCGCGGCCAAAATTAGTATTTCGATAAAATTTGTTTCAAAATTTGAAGGTTTTTATTTAGGGTTTTCATGTGCAGGTAAATTGAATTCATAGTTGAAATTTTGAAATGCACTAAAAATACCAAAAAAAAACAAGATAGAGGCAGAAATATGGCGAGCAAAAAAAAATATATTTATAGTACATTTAAATAATTAACTATAGCAAATGAAAATATAATAATTGTCGTAATTTTATATTAAAAATGAAAAGCAAATTATATTTCCGAAGTAATATTACAAAATAACGCGAAACCATGAAGAAAAACATAATTTTTGCTTTTCGGTATATTTAGTCCACCTTTGCAATCTGGGCAAAATGGGGCAGGTTTTTTCGAAAGAAGGAACATCAAAGAAGAAAACACAAAAAAGTTTAGGTAATTACATCGTGGAACTTTTTGGAGATAAGTTTCGAAAGTGATTCAAACATTGTGAAATGTCAAATGATAACATAAACTATAAGTTTATCAAGAGTATTAACTAATCCAACAAATTGAAAAATTGTACTATAATTTCAGACTAATTACTCTGATGAAAATGTAACAGAAAGGTGCAATTCTTATATATATTTCTGAAATATAAATTTAAAAGTTACATTTTAAAAAAAATTAACATATTTTTCACCACATTGTACTCTCGTCGGTTGAAAAAGTAAACTATAATGTTTGGAATGATTATTATTATTTTTTTTACTTATTTTTTTAAATTTAAACGACTTAAAACTCCTCATGTACCACAGATTATGAATACTTAATTTGTGCGATATTAAAGCTGCCTAAACATATTTTAGTTGAAATTTAATTTTTGACTTTTGGCCAAGGATCATGGTCTTCTGGCCCACTGTGCAGTCGTTGAACAGCAGACCCTTTTAAGTTTACGAGCCTTATATTTGATATATACATATATAAATATATATATATNACACTATTACACTTCACATTCATGTATATATAGATTCTTATGCCCATGACTAGAGAGGCCAGAGTGGCCCCAAAGATTTTTTTTTGTCGGTAAGCTTTTTTAGTTTGATCATAAGATACACTTTAGTAAATATTAAGGTACTCCAGTTTCATTAAAAAAGTGTATTTCAGATATCTACAATTATTATTTACTGGGGAGAGAAGCTCAATTATCTAAGAAACTAATGTATATGCATAATTGAAAAGTCAGTGTTCCGTTTAATCAGATATTTTAGCTAATCAAATCGAATAAAATACTTTTGAATTTTAATGACCGATTCCTTAATATATATCTTATTAGATTAATTATAATTATGTTTTAATGTTTTGGATGTCTGATCTATATACGCACAATCAATCTGGAAAGAGCCAGACGGGCCTCTTCAGACTTTCTAGGTAAACAGCTTTGTTCAGTCCTTCTAGTGTTTAAAAAGCTAGACATTTTAAATGGATATTGAAAAACTAATTATTATTTCAGTCTTTCAAAAGGAAAGACATAATTTAGTGAATTAGATTGAAGATTGAAAAGTGAGAAACCTGAGATTTAAAACTATTCATTGATATTCAATAATTATTAGTTAATAATTATGTGGAATTTGAGAATTTTTTTTATCTAATATGTGTTTTAACTACGCAATTCAAAAGGATACTTAATTTCTAGTTAGTGATTATTTATTTATTTTATTTAAAATTAAAATTTTAAGACTATAGGAAAATATTTTTCATCATCCACTTGAGTTATTTTAAAAATAAGGAGAAATTATGTCTAGTCTTACACTAGTTTTAAACCAAGATATGCAAGCATAAATAACTAACTGCAATTAAAAACATTTCCCCTCCTCTTGTTATAGTTAAGAAAATCCAATTAATCACATTTGTAATTGAATATTTTTCTTCTTTTCTATATCAACAAGATTATTTCCAGGATATTTTCTTCGACCACCTCTTAGTTAGTTTATTAAATCTTCATTTAATAAGTTACAAGTGCTACGTTTGAACTAAAAAAAAAGGAATTTCTCCGAAAATAAATTAAATTCCTTAATTTTATTACTTTGAAAATAGTTTAAACGAAATTTGATCCTGAAAGCAAGAAGGTAATTACTTCTCTAGCTTACAAACCAAACTTAATTTAGCGATAACATAAACTGTGTTGCTAAGATCTTATTAACAATAATTTTAACTTTATAAACCACATTAAATTATCTATCAACAGAAAACGTTTAAAGTAAATTAGGCTTGCATATTTATTTTAAACATGAGAGTTAATTTTCTTTCAGTTATTTCCCGAAGTCTTAATAAACTCAGGGAAATAGCAGAGACGCAAGCAAGCTAAAATAATGGAACTAAACAAACTAAAGATGTCGCTAAATAATATTCATACAGCTTGTGATTTATTGTCTTTTATTTAGTTTGTTTCGTAACATACTTTATTTGCATACTGAGTATTAATTTAAAAGCGCGATATAAAAGTTTTAAGAAATATAACTGCAAATATGACTGGAAATGTCAGATTTGATATTCAATACACGTATTTTTTGCTTTTACAATTTTACAAAAAAGAAATTGCAAAATCATCTGGCCAATCATCATCAATGGAATATATAACGAATCATGTTTATTTAATTTCCTATTATAGAAACTCTTAACATTATAAACCTAAGTCATCTATCAGTAGAGAAAGCTTTGCTAGTAAATTACTCTTACTACTTCCTTTATCACACGAATGTTAATTAACTTTGAGATATTTTTTCCCTCTATTCTGAAGACAAAATGTCATTTAAAATTCTTTCAAAGCATAATATTAAATTGAAGAATTTTAATTGCTTGTTAATTGTGAAACATTTTAACTGTAGGAAATTCTAGTATGTTTCTGCTATGCTGGTTATGTGTTTAAAGCTTTGCAATGTCATTGGGTTGTAGCATGGCTCAATCCGTGACAGTGGTATGAATCACACTTGATTTGAGATCAATAAGTACTAGATGGTCTGGGAAGTAAAGGTGGCAAGCACTAAATACTTAATACATCGCCACAATTCATGATGTTCTCAAAATTGCAAAACTTTAATACCCATGACTCCTTTGGTTGACAGTTGCTCGTTACAAAAGTGCTTTAAATGACACATTTTCATTTTAATCCAGGTTATTCGAGAAACGCAATGTTATTATGAATAGAAATTTGCAGAACAAACAATCAAAAATATTATGAAGACAACCACCTTCACTAACTACAATTCGTTAAAGTTCAGAAGTTTTTTTTTTCGCTTAAGCATTTATTTGCGATTCACAATATATATGATTTTTTGTCTTCATTATAAAATTATATACACTGAAAAGACAGAAAGTTATAACCGCATACTCATTTACATTTTACTGTGATTCATCTGACCCGATAACTGCCTTCAACTTGTCCATAGTCCAGTGTCGATGTTTCCCGGCCCAATATAGGCGTAGTTGACTTTGGCCCTTAGTCAACAGAGGCACATAAGTGGGACGACTGTTATGCTGTCCCGTATCCAACAATTCCTGATGAATTGTGAGTTTGAAACTTGGTATTCAATAGTTTTGCACTTGGTATTCAATAATTTTGAACTGCTTGTCAGCTGAGTCACTGTTTACCTCTGATTTTGTTTTACCAAGCGGGACTGTCTCCGACATCCCGCTTCTTAGATGACGTATGGGCATCCAACACTTAGGCGTCTACGACTAGTTTCACCGTCATTTATCCACTTCAAATAAATACTTATAATGGCAGATTGTGAACAACCTACCAATCGTACAGTTTCAAAGAAACTCGCCTCGAGTCTTCGGGTCATTTCTATCAGGCAATCTATCAAATTCGCTTAATGCAGTCACCATTCCTATTCTCGCATAAGCAAATGTAAAAATGATTTCTTTATCCTTTACCTTATTCAGCAGCAGTTACCATTCCAACCATGTCTGGGCAACCACCAGTTAAGTTATCCTCTCCCTTACAAAAGAAAATCTTCTTTCGATATTTTCGGGAACACTTCCGCTTTCAAAAAAGATGTATCTTTGTTGCTATCACTGCTTCTTATTTCTCTTATTGACAGTTTATTGAAATCAACATTCAATGGTTTCATTTATTTAGGAATAACACTGTCAAACATCAATACATTGTACACTATTACACTTCACATTATTACACTATTAGCAAAGATTGTACACTATTGCGCTTGAGTTATTTTAAATGCTAATTTTGAGGCAAATATGTGTATTTGTCTAAAGCGACAATTCCATTTTCTATTGAAAATAATTGTTGTAAAAGACATTTAATGTAATCAAATTTCTAGTAAGTAGAAATAAATTTACAATGTATCTTAAGAATCTAAAAACAAATTGTAGCAGTCTTAAAACTTTCTCGGGGCGGCAAATTGTTTCTTAAGAATAACTCACCAAAATTTGATTAAAATATTGTGTTTAGTGTTTAAATGTAAACGTACCAGTGCAAAGGGAAACATTAAATGAGGAACGCTTATTTGTCTAATCATAGGTTCTGCAGGAAAGTTTATCTATCCCAGGATCTGATCTGCATCTCGTTTATCATAGCAGTCATGCCCACGGCTATTTATCAACAATTCATCTGCAACTTACTCCCAGCAACATATCCTTAACATTACGATTAGTCCACCTGCATATCATTATTGAAGGCATATTCTTTGAGAGAATATTTGAAGCCGATCCTGACATCAAATTTACTTACGCTTGGAGTAAACGCAATGTTTATAAACAGAAAGTATATGGATTAACCACGGCAAGAGGTAAATAAATATTATTTCTATTTTAAAATGATTTAACATCTTAAATTTACTCGAGAATTTAAATTTAAAGAGCATACTGTATTTGAATGCCTGCCTGCTAATGGAATTTAAATCTTTATATAAATTCACCATAACATGTATTAAGATAATTTCACAACCATTTTATATATTTGTTAAAAACTTTTGAAATAATACTGAAATATATTTCTAAGAATCTCAAATAAAAGCTGCTTTGAAAACACTATCAAGATAACCCGTATCTATAATTATATATGAGTTAAATGCATTTGTTAAAAACTTCTGAAAGTATACCGAAATATATTTCTAGAAATCTGAAATAGACGTTGTTTTGAAATCACAGTAATATAGGATAACTCATATATGTGTTTAACATATTCGTTAAAAACTTCGAAATTAAACACATTTTAAAGAATCTCAAATAGAAGTTGATTTGAAATCACCATAATACATGTTAGAATAACTCATATCTATATTTATATGTTTGTTTAACACATTTGTTAAAAACTGAAATTACATAGGAATATATTTCTAGGAATCTTAAATAAAAGTTGCTTTGAAATCACCATAAATTATGTTCGGATAACTCTAGTTATATATATGAGTCTAAGATATTAATTCAAAACTGCTAAATTTATACAGAAATAATATTTTTTTGAATTTCAAGTGGAAGGTGCTTATCCAACAAAAAAATTAATGAATATCCAATATAAAATATTATTATCTATCCAAAATAATCAATGTCACATATCCAATAAAGAAATTAAAATGATCGAAACTGCTTTCGTCGTTGGACAAAATGGAAAGACAACTCTTGTTTAATAAATAAAAATAATTAAAATGGGGGAAATCAATTCTTCAGTTGAATATTTCATCTTCATCATTTGCGCGTCAGCCCGTGGTGAGCCTGGTCTTCTCGAGGTTTCACTTCAATTCTAACCAGTTTTCAACAACGGTTTACAGTCCGATACGAGGTTCTTATTTGCAGAATCGGATCGCCTTATCTTTGGTTGATTCCCAGATAGTCTAGTTATGAAAATATTTTTAAATATACACTTATGAGGCGACCGCATTTGAAGGCAAGTCTATTTTATTCATTAAACTTTTATAGATTTAGAAATGTCATGATATTTAATAAAGGCAGTAAAATTTATGGTATCATCTACTTCTCCATAGTCCGTGAATCTAGACACTACCGAAAATACTTCGATGGACAAGAATTAATACTACTTCTCTCTATTAAATTTCAAATTTAAAGCAAGTGTTATTTATATCGAAATACTAAGAGTTAAATTATTAGTATAATTAAATACTGCACCATATACATTTTTTGTAAAAAACTGAAATTTTCAAGGAGCCTTTTATTTAAATTCCCTGAGTGCCAAGTGTATAAGAAATGCTATTTATTTAACATCTGTCGGTACTAGAAAAATTTCAAGTTAACAAATTTTCAATGTACATCAACTCTTCGGGAGATTTAAAGGATAATTAACATCATCACTGGACGAATAAATGTACAAATAAATCAATAGTCTTTATGCAAGCATTTCTGTAATTAATGCTGTAATTATGTAGGTAATTATGTAGCATAGTTATGTAATTAATACTGAAAACAAAAAAGGCATTTAAACTTTAAAAAATGTAAAATAAAAAATTTGAATATGATTACATATTAATAAAAGCACAAAAGAATTGTAAAATTATTTGCATATGAATAATCAACTTTTTCTCAAGCTTAATATTTAATATTATACTTGATCTGAAAAAATAATGTATTTGATTTATTATTTCCTAACTCAAAATTAAATAAACCATGCACTCAATGAACCATAGACTTAAATGAAGTTAATCGATTCAAACTGCATGATACGGTTTATTTCTCAATTTTAATGAAACATATAAGTTTAGTTTGCAGTATCTATTAAAAATTTAAATTTGTTGATGAAATTTCGTGCAGTAATTATGATTTAATTTAAAAACAATATCAGATTTAATTACTTCGCTTGAAAAATGAAAAAGGATCTAAATACATAAAAGAATTCAGTTATATGCAGCAAAGTAAATTAGTTCTTTCCGTATGAGCTAGTTGTGATTGGGGATTACATCACGAATGTTTAAATAATGAACATAAAATTATTTTTCTACTTTAACTTTAACGACGTACTTGTAAAGCCATGAAGAACTTAGTTTGATTTGAAGCCCATCTTTATTTTCTCCTTAAAATGCTCACTGTTCCATTACTCTACATGTTGCCATCGAATTTCTGCATGCGTTCTACAAACTTCTGTAAGATATTTTTTGTTATGCTATTTAATTATAGTTAACTATCTAAGATTGCTAGTATACAACTTTAAGAGAAGCTGGAAAACACGCACGAAACTAAAACAAGCTCAGGAATTCTAACGCATTTGCAAGGCATTAAATTTTTGTAAACAATACTCACGGCATTATAAATTGGTTATAAGTCTGTTAAGTGAATACTTTTTTCATTGCACCCCAGAATTGCATTATTAGTAGCAAGTTAGAATAATTTATTTTTTATTAACGTTAAGGTAGGGTAATGAAAATCAAAAAGTAAATATATCATCTTTAAGTTAGCTTTGATTGCGTTGGCAAAATTCAGTTCTTCGAAAAAAATTTTTGTAATAATTTACTTTAATTAAAAGTACTCGAAAGTTGTTAGCTTTTCCAAATTCAAGTAAGGGCTTTTCAATTTTATCTTCAGTGATTTAATAGACAAGCAATTAACTGTAACTACTTTTACAGTTTGTAATGCTTTGACGTACACAAAATTCTTGACAACTATACTTCAAAGGTTAGTTTAAATTAGGTTGCTCAAAGCGAAATTATCTATAATCAATTATCTATACTCTCAAAAAAATAATCTCTCTACTAAATCTCTCTACTAAAGAGAAATCATCTATATTCTATTTGGTTCAATTATAAAAAAAATGAAAACTTTTTATTTTGAATTTCCCTTTGAGCTTTTCTTATGGAAATTTTTTCTTAATTTTAAGGCATTTAATTTATTGAGTTTTTTTTATTGTTAATAAAACTGGCATTCTGCAAAAATACTTTTAAACCAAGTACTTGTAAAAATAACGTCTTTTATAAAAAAAACTCTAAAAAAAGATCTCAAATAAAGTAGCAAAATATCTACAGTTTATACATCTATATCTGCAGTTGGGTCGAACTCTGAGTTTGAAGATATATAATAAAGAAGATTTTTTTCTGTGTCGAAATGCAGAATAAAAGAAGGGGAACAGGGAGGTGGATAAGAAAAATTAAATAAATTGTTGCAACAAGGAATAATGTTGCAACAATAAGGAATGCTTGTAAATTATGAAATGTGGCTAATCGTTTATGATATGTATGATACTAAAAGTGATTCAAGATATTTAATGTACTAATTTTTTTCTCTTATCCTGAAAAAATTATGTTTGAATGCTTGCGAACGTCGTAAGTTTCTAATTTTTTTTATTACTTTTCCAAAGTTTTCGTTGGATATGATTACATAAATTGCCCAGGCATCATATGGACCTCTCATTCCATGACAATTAAAGGATATGATATGGAAACATCAGAGCTTGGAGGTTGGAATTTGGATATACATCATCGCTACAACTTCCATGAAGGTAACATTATTTAAACACTAAAAATTTAAACTACATGTTTTTTTATATACAATGCAAAAGAAATTGAAATTTTTTTTAAATAATTTAGATATGTGTACTTTTAAAATAGTAAAAAAATACTGGGATTCTTTCCTCTACTAAGCAATTCATATAGGATTATGCCACATTTTTTCAGAAGGCAACATTTTTATGTCAAACTGTTTTACTATTGTTTCCAGCTGAGTGATTCGCCAGTTCAAATGATTCTATCTAAGTAACAGTCTGACATGCAGAATCATATTATTACCTGTATAGAAATCTTTATTTTTCTCACAGATAATAATACTCATACAATAATTATTAAATCATTATTATGTTCCCTGCCTTTCAATAGAAACTTCGATAATTTCATTTCATAAGAATGCTAAGTTCAGTGGGAAAAAAATCCTCTTGTGTGAATCTTTTATAGAGTTAATTTTCCTATCAATATCTATAATTATTTAATTTTGTACTTGGCTACATTAGATATACGAGAATACGGTTAGATTGTAACTGATTGAACTATTTATGTAAAGGCTGCGAAAATTATTCACATTAATATTTGTTTAAAGCTTTCTCTGTTCATATTAATAGGAAAGAAATAACGCGTTATGACTTACAAAGATAATTAGTTATTAAAAATTTGCACCACAAATTATTTAGGGAAAAAATTTATGATTTGAGATATTCTATTCAATATTAAGAAAAGAACATAACAGTTATTATTATTTTCATTATTAATATGTCTACTGTATATGTGACAGATATAATTCAATAGGATCCGGGCAAGTTTGTGAAATTCAAAAACACCGTTGTTATCTCGCAAAATAAAAAAGCTAAAATATGTGAAAAATTACAAATCATTCATCTAAAAAATTCCTAATATGAGACTTTTTTTAATATTAAGAAAAGAACAAAACAATTATAATGATTTTCCTTATTAATATATCTGCTGTATATGTGATCGATCTGATCCATTAGGTTTTGGTCAAATTTGCAAAACTCAAAAACACCGCAGTGTTATCTCAAAAAATAAAAATTTAAACATATCTGAAAAACCTATATAGAAAAGGTGTTTTAATGTGGGACGTTATCAAAAAATACGCATATTAATTAAGTAAGTTCTAGTAAACATTTTCTTTTACCATGGTTATATTTAGACAGTGTTATGACAAAAAAAGAATGTATAAAATTATCGTGTAAATACTTTTCTACTCGAATATTCGTAAAAATAATAATAATATTTTGACTAACAATGACAAACTTAAAAACTCCAAAAGGAAATTTTCTCAAACAACATCCAAACTCTCTCTACAGCTAATAGAAGGCTATGTTTTCTTACTGTCGTTTTCACTTAATTTCCATTAAATTTTTAGTATGTTTTTAGTAAAGCCCTCCATCTACAATGAGGGTATCGCACATTTGAGTACCATCGCATATTAAAAGCCTTTTTCTCAACTAATAATTACTTTTTTTCTTTATGCAGGCGTTTTACAAAAAGGGGATGGAACAACAATATATTTTAAGCAACAACCGAGAGTGATAACAGCACTAATGGGGACAGGACATCAACGGCCGATGCTGTGTCCCGAATGTAATGGCATCGCTAAGGAAGCTAGATTGTTAGCACCGGTAGCTTTGACGTCAGGACCAGATGGCAGTGTATATGTAGGAGATTTTAATCTCATTCGTAGAATAACACCCAATGGACAAGTGTATACAGTTTTCCGAATGAGGTAAATAATCATACATTTTAATGAATTTATCTAGTTAAATTAAACAATAATTTAGACATTTTTTTAAAAAAAAGTAATTCAACGAAAGCTACTATATCCAAACTAGAGCATCCAAAAGGAGGCATTCAATCATTTAAATCAGACTATAAAATTATTTCTCACTCTTATTCGATGGGTAAATAAAGTTCACGTGTTTAATTCCTTTTGCTGGCTGCTGTTGGTAACCATAGCAACATGCCATAGGAAAGGAAACTTATACTTATTTATCTATTTTTAGGCTTAACGGTTAAAATTCCTTTGTACGCAAGCCGCAATCATTAAATTCAAATACTTTATAGATTTTTAGTTGTATATTTTTAGTTGTTAGCTTATAGATTAAGAATTTCATTTTTAATTGCATGTATTATTCGTGTATTCTTTTGTAACAAAACTAAAAACTCAAACCGTTCCAAACTAAAAACTCAAACCAATTAATTCATTAATAAAAATAAATAAATAATTAATTAGGTTTAAAACTAATAAATTTTCAATAGTTCTTAATATTAATTTTAATAAGCTATAATAATGTTTGCTAAACATGTATTTTGACAAAATTTATTGACCAAAATATGTAAATAAACAGTAAATAAATATTCCAGTAAATAGCAGTTAAGTAAACGCCAGTAAATTGTAACAGCATTTTCAAAAATGCAATTAAAACAACTTAGTTCGGAGCACATGTTACACTATCATAGACTGACATAACTCACAATAAAATCTGGGTAATTGGCAATGCCCATATGAAAGCGATTTAAGACAGTCATGATTTCGTGAGTGGTCTACAACTTACGACAGAAGCTCTACTTTCGATTTTAACTTTCTGTGACCCAAGCTTAAAACAACGTTAAAAATGCTATTTTGACTAAGCAGTAAAAATATTAAAAGAAAGTAAGCCCCTGCACTAAAGTTAATTAATTAAAACTAATTTAATAAATGAATTATTTTTGAATTATGGCTCAAAAATAATAGCTTTTAATTTTTATTCAAATATATTTTAGAATGTATTTATAGCGTATTTTTTCACTCTTTTTTTCAAGAAACTACAGTCACAAAAAGCAACTAATAAATTGTTTATATTTTATAAAGTTATCTAGAAGTTTATTCCATTTAAATTTCTTATCATTTTTATAGTTTTTCATTGTACGTTGAAATTCTGAACAAAGTAGACAACCGATGACATTTTTACCTTAGGATTTACTTTATGTAAACATTCGAACAGAAAAACAAGCTTTAAAGCCATATTTAAATAATAATAAATGTCCGATAAAATACAAGCTGAGTCACGGAAGAAGAAATAAATGCATTATTTTAAAAAAAAATTGTCTTATATTTTCCTATTTTGAACTGTATTAAAATACATGCAAGATCATAAAAAAAATTATATTTTAAACAATCTAACAAAAGGTAAGGAATATGACATAATTATAATAACACATTAATAGACAATATGACATGATCAACAATGTAGCATATTAATAGACATAATCAACAATATGTTGAAATCTTTCTGATACGCATTAATGCCGCAAATTTCCATCTGCTTCTTATGGGATGCATCTTGTATCTGATAGAATATAAACTGCCTGTTTACTACCAAAGAAATAAATCAATTGATTCAATGTAGATCTCCGTCACATTTTGACGCTTTGTATTCCATGGATATTTTCAACAGGACGACTGACATGTCTACCCACTATCACATCACCCTGAGTCCAACTGATGGACATCTTTATATCTCTGATCCAGAAAGGCATCAAATTCTCAGGATACACTCCCTGGATAAAGTGGAAGACTTGGAATCCAATTTCGATGTGGTGGTTGGCAGTGGTGATCGCTGTTTACCAAGAGATCGTGATAACTGCGGAGATGGAAAACCAGCTTTAGAAGCTCGACTTTCGTATCCTAAAGGTAAGTCACAGACTTTGAAAGCTTACTCACATTTTTAATAACTTTCTATTTCAGAACTGTGGTTACTCAGTGGATAGACCACTCTCTTCCCAATGAGGTGAAACGGGTTCGAATCCCAGTGATGGCTGGTCGATACGATTTCCGCACACGGCTCGCACCGACCACAGTGCTGACATTAAATATCCTCAGTGATGGAATAGAGTCCCCTTGCGTTCTGGCTAATCGTGAGAGGTTTCCGTGGTTTTGTTTTCCATATCACGCAAATGTGGATTAGTTTCATCGAAAAGTCCACCGCGAAAGCAACATTTCTCCAATACATAATGCAGGAGTTTCCTTGCCTTCTGGATTGGACTCAAAATTGTAAAGTTGCGGATTTCAACATTGGTAGGTGTTAACTTAAAATTAGTTCGGCTGTTCAACAGAGGTTAAAATATATCAACAGTGGTCCAAGAGCCGCGATGGCTCAGGGATAGAGGCTCGCCTTCCAATAAGGCGAACCGGGTTCGAATCCCTTTCGATAACAGCGGTGAAGTGAAATATCCTCAATAGTAGACGGATCATGGGTTAGAGTCCCCTTGCCGTCCGGCTAACCGTGGGAGGTTCTCTTGGTCTTCCTCTCCATGCAACGCATATGCGGGTTAGCTCCATTAAAAAGTCCTCCACGAAGTCAATTTATAACAGCTCAGCATTAATGATTCTCCCCGTGATTACAAAAAGATACTCAAAATTCACAGAATTGTCTTCGTTATTGACGAAACTATTTTTCAGGAAATGTTCCGAGTGAGCATTTCGTCAATGAGTATGCGCATGTCCCAAAAAGCATAGGGTTTCATGCAATTTATCACTTAACACAATGGGAAACTAGTCAGAATGTATATCTTTGACTATATATGCTAACTATTAACCGAGCTTAAAGTCAAAACGTAAATATTTTCCTCATGAAAACCTTATATTTGTACTGAATAAATCAAAAACCGGCTCCAAGCGTGTGAAGAAGTTTTCCCTTTCTTAACCGTACACAAATTACAATTTGTTACATGTCAGAACTGCTTACTTCTGAGGCAAACATAAAAATTTAAACTTAAACAGTTAAGAGGCTCTACCCCGTTAACGTTGCGGATTGATTAGGAAATACAAAATAAAATATAGTGTTCAACGAATAATTATTTAGCCATTGTCATTAAACCTAATAGGGCAATAAATCATCTACCATTCCCTTTGCGATAACACTCAATTAAGAAATTAGTTTAGTCAAAGATTTGAGAGTTCGGATTTAGTTTAAAATTTCGTTCTTGACTAAAACATCGATATACCTCTCAAAAATTCCTAAATTGCCAAAATTAAGATTTTTATTCCAGAAAGTACATCATGCTTTCCGACCCAAATCCGTTAGGAACACTTTCAGAAATAAAACTCTCACTTTCGATACTTCAGCAATCCTTCAGTTTATTTTGATAATTTTAAGAATAATTCCTTCTCGAAATCATGAAAAACTCAAATATATAATGAAAATGTTTCCTTAAAAACCTCATCATGGAGCATAATGGGAAATAGTTATCTAATATGTCAAAACTAGACGATTACAAATAAAGTGACGGAATCAACCGGCTTGTATGGTGATCAAGGAGTTGGTCCCGCATAGGGAAGATCCCGGGTTGGAATCCCGCTTGAGCATGGGTGTAATTAGTATCTTTTTTCTCTTAGTCCTTCTTATGTCGTTAGGGTGACATGGATCCACAAACATGATGATATCCTTGCTAAAGTAATTATTAGAAAAATTGAATACTAATACATTTCGGCAGTGAGGAATTTTTTTTTAAAATGAATTGGCGAAATATTTATTTAATTTTGACGATAATTGTTAATTAGAAGGGACGATAGTTATTTCGTCACTTCAACAAAATTGTTGATCTTAGCATATCCAAAGAACCGGTTTTGTCAAAGACGAAGAAAATTTCGTGATACTTGAATATGTATTTTTACAGTGTAGTCTATGAGAATAGTGTTGGGGGACCGGGAAAAAATGTCCTTTCGGTGCATTTGATATTTGTTATAAGGATTTAATTTTTAATTCCATAATGCATTCACCCTCGTTAACAACAACCTTTCAATACCGGGTAGAAAATGAATCGAAATGGATCGAAAAAAGTGAATTGGTTTTTAAGAATAGCGAATAATTAATACGCCGAAAAGACGTTACTTTCCGGTTCCCTGATAGATAAAATAGAAACAAATTAATTTTTCATGTTATTTTTCTTTTAAGCAAAATTAATCCAAAAGTAAATTTTCCTTTTAAATCACTAAAAAAGAATTTCCCTTTTTTAAGAAAAAAAAAAGAATGTTGCAAAAAAATTTAATTGTAGTTTTTATCTAACCCTTATCAAACATATATCGATAATTCCACAAACGCCTCTGTAAACTCCAAACACCGCTATCGCATCTTCCTCTTATCAACGATGCTTTAATTTTTCTGCCGCTGTGATTGACGGCCCCCATTAATCTACATAAATAGGGGCAATTTGCCATATATTCCTATGTTCTTTTAAGAGCAATAGCATCTCAATCTTGCAATTTCCCAGCAACCCCACTTCATTTATGCTACCTTATTCCTGGCATAAATATACATCCAGCTGTTATTATAAACTTCTGTAAATTAATTAAACCTTTTCCTTGGATCGCCGTCCTATGATTAATTTTGCCTGAGGGTTTAAGAACTCTTTTACTGCAGAAGGGTCTCGCGGGATCCTTGAAACGGGCTGTAAGGGGTAGGGTGACTCTGAAAAGAGTTGGAAGGATTAGAAAAATAAAATTTTTGAAGCTGGTTGACATGTAAATGACTTCTACCCTTGACTCGAATGGAGAATATTTTGATTGTAATTAAGATTTGGAAGTTAGTTAGATCAAATTTCTGTGTAAGTATTTGACATGAAACCGGAAACGAATTGAGGGGGGGGGATTTGATGAAGATATCATATTTGCGAATAACTCGAATAAATCTGCACGGAATTTTATAAATTACAAAAATAAAACAAAGAAGATTGAAAGAAGGAAAAGAAAATATATGCTTATATCAAAAAAATATTTTAAGCGTCAATGTTTATTCAGCTTAATTTAGATCAATCATTCTCATTTTTGTATAAAAGAATTTTTGATGTAGAAGAAAAATATTACGCGTTTCAAACCACTGGGTAAAAAAAAATAATAACCTTAAAAATTACTATGATATACTTACAAGGCAAAGTATGAACTGTGGTATAATATCTAATGAATAATAGTATAGAGCTAAAAGACAGTATTGTGCTAATTGAATAATAGTATAATGTTTTTATTTATCAAACTTTGAAATTGTGTTCGGGACAAGGTGGTTTAAAAGGCATTCACTCTAAAAAAAAATACGGTTCCAAGTTAGATTCAGACAGCTGTAAGTCACAAAATTAAATTCATCGTATTCCCTTTACTCCTAGTTTAAACTGTTTAAAAGTTAAAACTCAGTATTCCCTTTGATTTCGTGGATGTTAATAACAGAGATAGAGACAGTGCATTATTTCGTCTCTAATTGTTTTTTTGTTTTTTTTTTTTTTTTAATACAGATGTTTTTGAGTTTACAATAACTGATCAAATTATGGTAAAAAGCACCGTCCTTTAGTGTGCCGAAAAATTTTAGTGTAAACTCCAATTTTACGGAACAAGAAATCTGATATACAGCAATTTTTACTGTAATAATTAATTTAAAATAATATTTATCCCTTGTAATAATTAAAAAAATTATTAAGTACTCAAGAAACAATAAACCTTGTAATAATAAAGCACCCAATTAATAATTAACGTGACTAAACTGAGGGATTTTAATTTAATAAATATTACCGTAGAAATTACTGTGTAATATTTTTCGGTAAAAATTGACTTTACCGGTAATGCACACAAAGTTCAGGAACTTTATAATGTAATTTGATCCATAATTTGTTTTACAGTGTAGCGCAATCATGTTCATTTTAGGAATCCTTGTCAGCAAAAATAAGCCAATAAGTAATCACTTTCGTAAGCAGTTTACAAGGAATGTAATGGCAATGAGAGTTTAGCAATCAACGCAATCATTTAGCTTGACAGCGTAACGCAATCATTAAGCTTTATGCAGTCACTGTACGGATAGATAAGATAACATTTTTAAAGAAAAGCCCTAACAATATCTACGAATTATAAGAGCAGCCATCTCAGAATCAAGAATTTATTCGATTATTTATAGCTAATTTAGATTTTTGTTTAATTAGATTTAATTTTCAAAACGTTTCATAAAATAAAATATTAAAAATAAGTTTGCATATTTATTTGTTTTCATAGTTATTATATTTGAAATCTTAAAAAGAATTTTATAATTTTTTCGAATTTCTAAGTAAAAATATAAAAACGATCTACCTATAATGCCCTTAATTCGTCTTAAATTCTTCCTGTTATATTCTCTATATTCATTTATTTTTTATCACAATGTATGGCAAAAAAAAACAATAACTTAGCAATTTAAAGAAATTATCAATTCAAAGTATAATATCAATCAATCAAAATCCATATTATAATAAAACATTGTCTTAATATTACACTAAGAGTAGGTTCAACATAAAAATATATGTTACAGTTTCAATTACATATGCATAATTCTTTTCCTTCAAGCATATTAAATATACAAATAAGCGTAATGATATTCACAAACAACATTTTTGAATTAGATAAAAGGTATTAGTACTATAAAAATAACGTAGCGTAATCAATAGAATTTTGAAACAATGGTCTAAAAGTGAGAGTAAACTAGGTATAATTTACAACTAGTAGTTCCGTCACTGTATACGTCACAGTATTTCGTCACAGCGTTCATAGTAATTCGTTCCCAGATTTTATGTACACATGAAGAGTTTTCAAGTTTATTCTTTCTGTTATATTCTCTATATTTATTTATTCTTCATTACAAGGTATGGCAAGAAAAACAATAACTTTTTAGCAATTTAAAGTATAATATCAATCAATCAAAATCCATGTTATAATAAAACATTATCTTAATATTACACTAAGAGTAGGTTCAACAAAAATATATGTAATGTACAGTTTCAATTACATATACATAGCTCTTTACTTTCAAGCATATTAAATATACAAATAAGAATTTTGAAACAATGGTCTAAAAGTGAGAGTAAACTAGATATAATTTACAACTAGTAGTTCCGTCACGGTATACGTCACAGTATTTCGTCACAGCGTTCGTAGTAATTCATTCTCTGATTTTATGTACACATGAAGAGTATACAAGTTTAACAAAAAAAAATCGGAAGAATTTCCTCATATTTAATATTGTTAACACTGCGCAATTTATTACTGCCATTACCATATCTTTTTTTTTTATCATGCACGCGAGACAATCGCGCAGGAAAAAAAAGTAATATTTAATTACGTGAGTAAATTAGACGGAAAATTTATTACCTCTCCCGAAGTGCGGAGTGCTGCAGCAAGAGATGATTTTTCGAAAGTAGGTCCCCCTCTTTTCAACAACGGAAAATTATGTGTTAGACCTAATATTTTCCACCTATTACTAGGAGAACAACTTCGAGAGATTGATGTCCAAGTCTAAAAGCACTTACACCCTTAAGGCTTCAAGCTCAATTTAGTCAACTTGGAATGCCATAGCTTTCCGCTGCTGAAACTAGTCTATAACATTTCTCAAAGGGATTATACACGGACGGAGGGCACTCTCTAAAAATGTTTTATGTCAGGCATTTTTTTTTATCCGGCAACATCTGGGACTTGAACTTAGCATTTTTTTTCTGATCCCTTGATAACACTAAACTAAATGATCATCATGACAATTATTTATGACCTACTTGATAAAGTCACCTTTGTATTTCAGCTTCTTTTATTCAGTTTTGTAGAATATGTTGTTAAAATAATTGCTCCGGAAAATAATACAGATATATATTTATTATGTAACAGTTTTGCTCAACATTATTTAAATTTTAACAGATTTATTTCAAAGGTGGAAATAAAAGGTTTTTAAACCTTTTACTGAGACGAATGAAGTTGCGAAAATATTAGCTCAAAAAATATCTGATTTTTTGAATAATTGTGGTATAGTTTTATTTATTTTATTTCATTGTGTTGTATTATTTTATTTTATTTGTTGTTTTGTATTTTATTTCTCTACACTATTTTGTTGAAAGATATGTAAACTAAAACGTTCCTGGAGCTAAGAAATTGGCAAGCTTCTTACGAAAAGTAAGATTACGAAAGTAATATTTCAGAAAATATCTAATTATAATACAGTTTGAACTTTAATGGAGCACATGGCACAGTATAGCACAGGTTAAGTTTCAATGGAGCAGATATTAAATATAGCACAGATTGAATTTTAATGGAGCAGATCGTATTTGGAAAATAATTGCTTAAAAATGTCTGACATGTCGATTTTAACAACTAAGCTTTTACTTTATAATTCATTTTTTTCAATTTAACTAAAGCATATAAAAAATGAATAATTTTCATTAAAACTATTAGAATTGGGTAATTTCAATGGAGAAAAATAAGCTTTAAATAGTAATTTGATTTACGAGTTTCTGAATGTTAACTATTAGATTAAGGGAACATTTCTGCATTAATTATTACTTTCCTATATCATTTTAAATTCATGAAGTTTGGAAAATGACATTTTGAAATCTTTTACTAGAAACCTTTATGACGACAATTTTAAAATATAATCTATTTTATACTGTGAGTTATAAAATTATACAAAAATACAGGATGTAGGGATAAAACACTTTTTCTTTTTTAACAAATCATAGTTACACACGTCATAGTTCTTTAACCTTTTTCTTTTTGCTGACGTCAAAATTACTGAGCTAAGTTTTACCCTCTATTTCTTCCTATTTCTTGTGCCCGTGATATTTTGGTCTGAAGTGTTTAGAAGTAACGCGTCAAAAAAATCACGCTTGATTTATTTTTTAAAGTCCGAAATCATGTTTATTTACGCAACAAATTATACATAAAAATTAATTGTCAAATTATACAATAAATGGCAGTACCAGACTATTTGTAATATGTTTAGAGATAGTTTATTTTAAAGTAGATGTCAACACTCTTTTTTATGTCACACAGAAACTTTACTTAAAAAGGAATACATGTATAGTACCACGTTTAGTTATATATAATTTTCTTGAATAAAGAAATAGGCACTTTTATGACGACTTTATTCAAAATTATGTGAAAATTACTCAATTTTCGTTACTTAAAATATGTTAGACTAATGGTATATATTTATGCAAAAATTTAAAATTAATGTTCGATCAATATAAAATAAAACAATTTTGGATTTGAAAGTGCTAATGCATTAGACGAAGTACGTTTTTTTTTAAAAAAAAGTTTTAATGAGTGATGATTAGTTTAAGGATTAATAAATTTGTTTCAATATCTGCTTTATTTTTTAAATTTAACATCAAATGTGTTTTATTTTTATCAGGAATGGCCGTTGCTGTTGATAATCGGATGTATTTTGCTGATGGATCGAATATTCGAATGGTAGACAGTAGAGGAATAATTCATACGATGATAGGTGATCATCATCATAAACGACAATGGCGACCAATACCTTGCACTGGAACTCTAAAAATTGAAGAGGTCAGTAAAATGAAAATTCAAAAATATACTTTTATTTTTTTTACCAAAGAAACCCTTAAAAAAAGAAACATTTTAATAATAATTTTTAAAATGCCTGAGTTTGCTTACTTAAAAGCTTAACATTTTTATCCACACTGAAAAAAATTTTAGTGTATCCCAAAACACCGAAAATAGTGGCAACTATTTAACACCAAAGTGGTGTAGTAAAATGCCATACATAATTTTTGGTTCACGGTGTTTCACGACACCAAGAATGTATTTTTACATTTCTTAGTATATAACCACCACCATTCTAGTTTTTCAGTAACACTGAAATTTATACTTACTGTCACTGTTCAGGAGGTCCAGGATAATACTAGCACTAATTAATAGCATATTTTATTCAGCAAAACAACATCAACAATGGTAGGGTAAACTAACCAGTGAAGGAACACTTAAGCTTCGCTTGCCTTTTAAAAAATCATATTAATTTCAAAATNTTACATCCAGATCTCGTACGTAAAGCCAACTCACATAGAAGTATTTGGGGGAGGTTATCCAATGGATGCGCGCATGCGCTAACATTAAAGTTTCAGTTCGTATTTCTAAAAGTTTCACTTCGGATTTTAACTTACCACATTTCCTCCCACCTTGAGTAGAATACCTGTAATTATACTCAACAAACTTCTAATTTTTAGACATATAAAATTNTTTAATGAATATATATGAAATGTTCCTTCACTGGGTAGTGTTCCTTCACTGGTTGGTTTACCCTATACAAGTATCAAGCAGACAAACATAACATTTTACATCCAGATCTCGTACGTAAAGCCAACTCACATAGAAGTATTTGGAGAAGGTTATCCAATGGATGCGCGCATGCGCTAACATTAAAGCTTCAGTTCGTATTTCTAAAAGTTTCACTTCGGATTTTAACTTACACTTACAATAAGATAAGTAACACATGAGAATCAGTAAAGTTATTTTACGATACAGTCTAAAGCAAGAATCATTAATTTAAGTAGCATCTATATGTCACAGATAGTAATAAATCCGTTATTATTAATACTAATTGGTCAATATTGATCAAAGTGGTCAAAGTGAGGTCTTTTGGTCAAAGTGAAAAATATTGCAAATTATTCACCTAAACGGTTTATAGCATTGGGACATGGGCGTGCCTATTTGTATATGTATTACGGTTAAAGTGATAAATCCGATTATTATTAATACTAACCGGTCAAATAGCAGCTTCTTTTGGTCAAAGGGGGAAATGAAAAAGGGAGATTTCCGTATTGTGATCTGTGGTAGAATAATGGCAACTTCCGGGAAGCGACCCACAAGAAACTTTAAAAATAATAAATAAAAAAATTACAAAAAAATAAAATAAAAACACTTGTCGGAGAAGGAAAAGCTTGAAGGGTATAACTTGAAGACACCCGCGGGCTAACAACCACATTTTTATTTTTTATATTTTTTAATTTTTCCACATTGCCATTGTAGTTGCCATGGCAGATCACGATACGGAAATATCCCCAATAAAAACGCGGAGGAATGACAGTGACCAAACTTCATTAGTTATTATTAATAATATCTGCTTAATGTGACAAATTCGCTTAAATTATTCGCTTTATTTGGTAATACTGGCATCACTTGTTTATTCGATCATTATTAATGTTGAGCGGTGAGTATTAATAATAACGGTCTATTCACATTAACCTTAACATGTACACTATTTCTCAAAATAAAATAAATTTGTTAATCAAACATGCACACAGAGCAGAGAGAATAATATGAATTCGATCGAGGCTTAACGAAACTGAAGCGGATGCAAGTTAAGCATAGTGAAATAATGTAATACAATTGACAGAGTTAGATAAATCTTCTTATGACAATATAATAATCTCTTTTATACTACTAAAAACATGCAAAACTTCATTGGAATGAGATGAATCAGAGCCGTTCGAGGCAAAATAAAACTTTCATGTTCTAGGATTCAAATTGTAAACAAAAAATAATCGATCGTCTGACGTTTTCCAAACTGATAGCCTAACACCAAAATTGGCAAAAATAATACATAAAGAGAGTAAAAGCATCTGATATTCCTGTAAGTTTTCTTAATTAAGAAGTTTCGATTGAATTACATGCCTTAATGTACGCGATTCGACTCGGTCTTAATGTAACGCAGAATCTTTAGAGTTTTTAACATTAAATTCGGAAGGGGATTACACCACAGTTTTTGCAGTGTACAAACTATAATATTTCCAGAATTATGCATTGAAAATTGCTTTTAAATATACATGAAAAGATATTTGCGACATTCTAATCTCATACATTTTTGATTTCGTATGTGTTGCAATGTTTCTTGTTAATATAGCAGTGATAATTAACAATGACAATACGAAACAAACTTTCGACAGACTAAGTTCTTGTTGTTTTTTTTTTAGGCAAAACTTCGATGGCCCACTGACTTAGCTATAAATCCTTTAGACAACTCTCTATATTTTATCGATGACCATATGGTGCTGAAGCTCACTCAGGACCAAAGAGTTATGGTGATAGCAGGACATCCAGTTTATTGCCGACCACAAAATAATCGCCTGAAATCTAGAATAACTGGTGGAAATTTACTCTGGTCATTAATCGGATTCACATTTAGTCCCACTGGTACAATGTATTTAGCAGAAGTAGATTCCAAAAACGTTCACCGAATACGTATGTTAACATCAGATGGTGAATTGCTGCATTTCGCTGGAAGAGAAGGTGTTTGTGATTGTGACTGGCAAAACTGTACATGTTCTTCGAGAGAAGAAGGACAGCTTGCAGTGGATACAAGACTTCTGTCTGTCACGTCCATCACCGTCACCGGTGATGGCGTTGTCCATATAGCTGATCAGGGAAACTTGAAAATTCTATCTGCTATTCCGTACTTACCTATAGCCGACAGCAATCAAGAATTTCAGATTTCATTTCCAGAACACCATGAAATTTATGTCTTCAACAAATATGGACAGCATATCACAACTAAAAATATCCTGACCGGGAGAACTGTTTATAACTTCCATTACAATGTAAATACTAGTTTTGGAAAATTAAGTGCAGTTACAGATGCATCAGGGAATAAAATAGCGTTTCTTAGGGACCAAGGAAATAGTTTACATACAATTGAAACAGCTAGAGGACAGAAGTGCAGAGTTCAAATGGGAAAGCAGAGTATATTGGAAGTGTTTGTCGATCCAGACAACATGGAAACCGTGTTTGATTATGATAGTAACGGATTGTTGACAAGTCGATCAGATGCTGCGGGACGATCATTTTTTTATGTCTACGATGAAAATGGCCGATTAACGCAAGTTGTTAAACCTAGTGGCCAAGAGACAGTTTTAACTTTTGATCTTGGGCCAGATGGCGCCTCTGTAATAGCAACAGATCAAAATAAAGGGGAACATTCGATGGTAACAGTGAAAGGGAATACAGTTGTCAGTCAGCAAGGTAAGCTACATTTTTCATTTGCGTGTGAATATACATATATATATATNATATATAATAAAATTATTGGTTGATGGGTGCATGAAAATGATGAGAACTGCATGATCTTTCTTTTAAGATCAAAAGATCTACTACTATAATCTTTTTCTTAAATTTTTAATAAAATTTAGTACACAAATGTCAAATTTGGTGTGAAATCTGTCAAACTTACAAATTCTATGGCTTAATCCTTCATTTCCAATAATTTAAAAGAAAAATAATAATTATTATTTTCATATGCTGGGTTAGTCAAAGAATACAGGAAAAATATTAAAAAACAATTTTTGAAGAGGGGGACATATTTTGATAAAATGTATTTTTGAAAAATTGCGTGTTTAGGATTGCAATTTCACTAATGCATTCATATAGTAAACAAATATAATCCATCTAATAATAAATAAAAAATTATCAAACATATCAAATTTTAAAACTTATCAAATTATGAAATATATATACTAGGAGGCTACGCCTCCTGCTCTCTGCCGCTCGCCAACCCCCGGAACGATTGTGAACAATCTACAGATGATATCCGAAGTGCACCATTGGTGTTTTAAAAAGCTAAAATAAGCGATTAGATTTAGCTATATCCGTTAAAGTTTGTATGGACACTCGATTTGGTATTAAATTAAAGTAAAGTATTCCATTGCGCATTTGTTTGGGTAGTTCAGTACCAAATTCAAAGAGATATTATACTACAGATTTTAAGGCCGGTTTAATACATTTTAAAAATGAATACTTTAGTTAAATTTAAAAAAAAATGAAGGAAGCTTATTATAAACGTAATTAGTTTATATATATATATATATAAAAAAGAGGAAAGAAAAAAAAAAGATTTTGTTTTTTAAAAATCCGGAAAATAAAAGATATAATCTTTTCATCAGCCCACATGATTATATCCGCAAAAAAGAGTGCTTTCTGATATTGTATCAATGTAGCCAAAGCAAAATATATTAATACAATAGTGT